GAACCTCCATGTGCGACCGCCAATCCACCTTCTGTAAGTGACTGCGACCACTTTTTGGGCGTCACGGTTGATTGTTTTCCATGAGCGACCAGCTGACGCATTCTCTGCTCTCTATTTTTGCTGTGTGCACTATGTTCCTTAGAAAATATGAAGACATTTAGTGACATCGTGGAACTACACATATCCTAACTTAGTAGATGTAGCCAACAAAGTGAAGATATTGTTGTGATTCTAGACTATTCTATATCTCACTCACCTGAATCTCTCTTTAAATTGAGCATGATTTAAAAGCTGTATTTGTCAAAAGAGGTAAAAGATAATATTTTGCCAGGAATTTGTTACACCGCCACTTAATAGAATGTGCCTGGACCTCTTCTCGGAATAGACTCCGTGTGGTCCGATTGAAATTGACGTTTGAAATTTATAGGAAAAGGACGTAGCACTTCAAAAAATAATAATAATAAAAAATACACTTTTTTCACAGCCTGTCAATGCCTAGAAGGTGTCTATAAAAGAAATCAATTGCAGAACAGGAGTCAATTTCAGTTTTTTGCGCTTTTCACGCTAGCACTGCGAAGCGGACTGGGGGCGCGAGACACGCGCGATGCATGGGGAACAAGTTCTGCAGGCTATAAAAGAAATTAAAAAATAAATAAATAAAGCAGGCCTGATTTTATTGCGATGAGTCTATTTTTTGTCGAAAGCAAACGTGAAAAATCGTATTAAAATTCGTGACAGTATGTTAACGTGACTTAAGCGTCTGACCGATTTCCGGTCACACGCCAAAGGTCATACGATCTTGTGCGATGTTTATTATCAGCCGGCAAACGATCGAAGTGATGAAAGGTTTTCAAAATCGAAGTCATTAGTTTGCGATGAATTTTCAATCTTTTGGCCTCCTGACTGAAGTAAAAAGTCTTGCAACTCTTGCTTCTAAAGGACCGCAGTGACGTGTTGTGACTTCATTTCGATTCACGGCCGGATTCTGGCGCTGTGGCTGAGCAAACGTACGTTTGTCTTTTGGACCTTTTGGCTTAAAATTATGGATTTTGTGACTCAAACCGACGCAACAGAAGTTGGAAATAACTTTCCTTGCCGTAAAAACGTGTTACAAGCAATGGTGAGTAATCCTTTCATGTAAAACCTTTCTTTTAGTTTGACAACCGTCCGCAAGCCGTCGAATTTGCATAAATTTCCCAATTCAATTGCTCTCACCGCTTGCTTTGGTGTCAGGATGGTATTTGATTTCCAGAGCTAAAACTTTCCAGTAAGTTAGTACAAAAGCCAAGGTTCCATTTTATATTGATTTTATGATCAAGCGGCATATACCAGAGGCCTTTTTTAATAGTCAAAGTTGGCCTTCATTTTCTAGCACGTCTAACGTCACAAATATGACCTCTTTACACTTGTCGATTATAAAAATATAAGACATTGGTTTTCAAATTTTCTTTTAAGGTTTTCAAGAGTAAGAACAAAATAATAATTCGGTGAAGTTTCAGTGTCAGGGAATGTTTCTTACGCGTTCACCCTTCTCTCGAAGTTGCCATTGCATCCTGCCGTGTTTTGTTCGAAAAACAGGAATAAAATCGATTTTTCAAACTTTTTTTAATTTCTCCTTTAAAATGAATCGTTTGAACCCAAAACTATTTTTCCTTAAATTAGGTCACTAAAAGGGATGTTTTGGCAAAATAATAAAAAATTCGATTTTTTGACGAGTGTCGTGCGATTCTCGATTTTCTCAGAAAATGGCTCTTAAGTCCGTTTGACTCGTAGCTTGCCCCTGCGCCCTAACGGGCGCATCTTCTTGGTTTTAATGCGCCATTTCAGTTTTTTCTTGCGGGAATCCCGCAAGGCCGCGGCCTGGTGAGAACACTGCACTTGCAATGTACATTGCGCCGTCTTTCACTCAAAAGATGCCTATTGTTTCTTCTCGTGCCCATTTTGATACACAAATTTAATATTTTCTGTTCATACTCTGTCATAGGAAATACAAACAAATGTTCGAAACCGTGACGTTAAATTTCGGTTCAAACAAGACACATTTATAAGAAAGATAAGGTTATAAAAAACAACATTCACGCTTTTGCTTTTGCTTTTGTAACGGGTTATTTGAGCTGCCAGATATTTTTGATGACCTTTGTTAATTGGCCCGATAAAGACTTGAGACCCGTTGCCGATTCCGTTTCATTCGGTGCCGATAAAATCGGGTCCGACCTTCAACGGAATCGGAAAAAATCGGTGCCCAATTGATCGGCATCGGTATGACCCGATGCCGATATTTGGACGCGTTCCCTTAAACGTTTTTCCCTTTTTTTGCTAAATAGTCCGGAACAAAGTGTCTTTTGACGTTCTAGCTAGAAAACTATCCATTTTAAATCAGAAAAACGTCGATTTAAAAACGTCGAAAATTTGGCATTTTTCGTAAGGGGTTAGTCCACATCCTCAGAGACCCAGGGGCAGTCAGTCGGGTCGGGAAAAAAGGCGGGACGAAAGTGTTCAAGTAAGTGCGGAAGAGCCCCTGGGTACCGACTCTCACCGAACTATTTCCAAAAATTCAAGCTGATACCGACTCCTGATTGGGCACAAAAAATGCTTTGTATTATTGTGCCCAATCGGCGAACAGTTGCTCCTGAGTTCTTTTCGTGAGTTCGTACGCGACGGCTATTGTCCCGCCACACTTGCCTTGTTCGTTCACCAAGCTTGTGCGTACAAGGGAAACTTTTATTTTCTAGTTCCTAACCAGAAACAAAGGAATTACCGATGAGTTGAAAAAACGCTTGGGTTACTATCAGCAAGCGCAATTGAATTTGCCCCAAGAATATTCTGTTTTCGACGGATCACAATTAAGATGCGGCGGCGATGAGAAATTCAAATACGTAATAGCTTGACAAGGCAAAACAACAACTTTGCCCTTGCATCACGCTTTTTTGTACATTTCTTTGCCGTTAACTGCGCGACTACCCGTGAAAATGCCTAACTTCACGTTTTGCGAAGGAGTAAACAAGCAATAACAAAATTCATTCTCTTCATGAACTTTGATATGGTTCGGAAGAGTTCCCTTGCATTTGACAAAGTAAGCGAGTTGGATCAGATGGGGATTTTATATCAAACTGAAACTTTCCTGACTGCGTGCATTTCTTTGGTGCATAAGCTAGACAAGCAGTGATCGAGACAGTAGCCGTCATGTACGAACACACGAAAAGAACTCATTGAGATGTGTTCGCCGATTGGGCACAATAATACAAAGCATTTTTTGTGCCCAATCAGGAGCCGGCATCCGCTTGAATTCTTGGAAATGGTCCAGTGAGAGTCGGTACCCAGGGGCTCTTTCGCCCGTAATGAAAACTTTCGTACCGCCTTTTCTCCTGACCCGACTGACTGCCCCTGGGTCTCTGAGGATGGGTTAGTCCTCTGTTTTTGATGAAAAATTGGAAATTTACTCCTTTTTGTTTTTCAGCAAAATAGTCCAAAATAAAGTGTTTTGTGACCTTGTAGATAGAAATCTAGCCATTTAAGACTACAAAACATGGATTTAAACAAGTCGAAAATTTTGCATTTTCCAAAGGGGTTAGTCCATGGTTTTTTGTCAAAAATTGAAAATTTTGTTCCTGTTTAGTTTTTCAGTAAAATAGTCCGAAACAAGGTGTTTTGTGACCTTCTGGATAGAAAACTTGCCAATTTAGACTAGAAAAACATTGATTTTAAAAAGTAGAAAACTGGCATTTTTTCAAAGGGGTTAGTCTATGATTTTTGGTCAAAAATAGGAAACCATGGTCCTGTTTAGTTTTTCAGCAAAACAATCCAAAACAAAGTGTTTTGTGAGCTTGTAGATAGAAATCTAGCCATTTAAGACTAAAAATGCATCGATTTAAAAAAGTGGAAAATTGACATTTTTCCAAAGGGGTTAGTCCATGGTTTTTGGTGAAAAATTGGAAATTTTGTCCTTTTTTAGTTTTCCAGCAAAGTAGTCCGGAACAAAGTGTTTTGTGACCTTGTAGGTCGAAATCTAGCCATTTTACGCGCAAAAAAGATCGATTTAAAAAGTCGAAATTTTGTATTTTTTTGAAGGGGATAGTCCATGATTTTTCGTCAAATATTAGAAAGTTTTTGCTTTTTTGTCAGCAAAATAGTCTGAAAGAAAGTGGTTTGTGACGTTCTAGATGGAAAACTATCTATTTTATACCAGAAAAACGTCGATTTCAAAAAGGCGAAAATTTGGCATTTTTCCAAAGGGGTTAGTCCATGGTTTTTGGTCAAAAATTGGAAATTTTGTCCTTTTTAGGTTTTTTGAAAACTAGGCCAAAACAAAGTGTTTTGACCTTGTAGAGAGAAAACTAGGCATTTGAGACTAAAAAACAGAATTTAAAAAAGTCGAAATTTTGGTATTTTTCGAAAGTGGGGAGTCTCCAGTTTTTGGTCAAATTTGGAAAGTTTGTCCTGTTTTGTTTTATGACAAGATAATCGAAAACGAAGTATTTTCTGGCCTTGTAGATCGAAATCTAGCCATTTAAGACTCAAAAAACATGGATTTCAAAAGTCGAAAATGAAGCATTTTTCCAAAGGGTTCAGTCCATGGTTTTTGGGCAAAAATTGGAAATTTTGTCCTTTTTTGTTTTCCAGCAAATAGTCCAAACCAAAGTGTTCTATGACCTTCTAGATAGAAACCCAACCATTATGGACTAGAAAAGCAATGAATTTAAAAAACTCGAAAATTTGCATTTTCCAAAGGGGCTGGAAATTTTGTCCTTTTTTGCCAAAGGCGCAAACAGCCGGAGCTTATCCCTGTTTCCTTAGCATGAAGCATGGGTAGGAGTGTTGCTACTCCTCGCTGGATCAGATGCTAGTCCATTGCAGGGTTAACCCCCAGCAGTATGCCACTGGTACCCATTTATACACCTGTGTGAAGAGAGACCAAGTGAGGTAAAGTTTCTTTAAAGGAAAAAACGTGATGGGCGAGGCTTGAACCCTGGACCTTCAGGAGTCTGAGGTGTTAACCGGCCGGCCACACAAAGACTTAATTATTAATTAGAAATTCTAGGACAAAATTGAACCACATTATGTGCATACCAAGTAGTCAAGATTTATATTCTGGAGATAACAACAAATTTACTTACATATAAAAATACTTATAGGTGTATCCTTAGTAAATTTTCCTCGCAGAGCAAATAAACAATTAAACAAGGAGCTTTAACTTTTCTCATGTGATGTGAAGGAAACATGTATTAAAAAGCAGAACCTCATTTTGCAGATGAAGCCTCTGCGTAAACAAAAGCTGGCTGGCTCATTACTGTCTTATTTGCTCAGAGGACAGATATTAATACATGTATGCTTACTTGTTGGAGTATTATTAATAATAGTCTACCTAATAATTTCTAAGTAATTAGTTTGTCCTCATGCAGTCTCAGGGTTATTCATACAAGAACACACTTTGTTTCCTTACACCATTCAGATAAGTCTAGAAGCATCTATTTCAGTGTGAGAGCAGAATTTATTCACAGAATATCAAAATAAAACATTATGCTAGTGAATTTAGAGAATGCTATTTACCAATTGCAGAAGTTAACTAAATAGCAGTTCTTTTAGCAGTTGGTTCATTGAAGGAAAAGAGGGCATAATATAATATTATAATGTTATTGTTTTGATTTGACCTCTAATAAGATGGCAGGTCTAAAATACAGGTCACTTTTCCACAGGTCACCATGATACAGATAAAAGAATAGCATTAAGAATCTCCTAGCCCTACTCTCTTAACAAAATGCTCTGTTATTAGAATCTGTGTGGTTTGGTAATTTATCAATGGAGCAGTGACCTGTACTGTCTGTACTTTAGACCTGGCCCTAACCATGAGCCTGCACCTTGAATGAGTATAGTGTCCTCAAATAAACAGCCTGGAAATGTAAGAAATAACTGCCAACAGCAGCAGCACTTGTTCGTTAACTTTTAGTACATAGTAATGGTAATAAAAGGTATTAAAACATACGTTGGCATTGAGCTGAAGTGTATTTTTATTAAGTTTAATACCTATTAATAAAATTATTATATCCTTCTAGCAGCTAAAATGTACAAAAGCAATAATTTAAATAACCCACATTAAAAGCTATCACCTTCATCTTACCCAAGAAGAAAATTATATTAAATCTGTTCCACCTTACATACACACATTGTAAAAAAATTAACATCATTTTAACACTATCAATAACCAGAGTATAATACCATCAACTGATCATGACGTGATACAGCTTACTTTGACTCTGAAGATGGCTAGTACTCAACTGCACAGGTTGTCGAAACGTCAGTCACTGTCAACAACAACCGTCCTATTCAGGACTACGTTCACGCGGATGATCAAACTCAACCTACTTTTGAAATGACTCCTGGGTTCAAACCTTTCACAATATTAATTTGTTTTAGGCAAGTTAATATCCTTGAATAATTCCCATCTCTTGTTCTTGGGGGGTAATTCAACAATATCAACAACTCCAGCAATTTTTTTTTCCAAATTTTCTTTTACAGTTATGTTGACCGAATAGTGATCAACTGATGCAAAAGCAGCTACAAGTAGCATGATTGCTAGTTATTACTTTCTGAAGGAGCATTAAATTCTACACCACCATTGTCCACTGCTTGACAAACATTTTCAACAATCTCATTGAATTTATCTGGCTTATCTAGATACACATGGTGTCCGGCACCTGTGATTACTTGAACGTCAACGTAAGATTCACTGCGTCTTGTCTGTGTTTCCCGGCCTGAGCTGCTTTCTATCCATGATCGTGATCCATAAATCATAGTTATAGGAACGTTTCTGTCAATATTTCCAATTCTATAAATCATTGGATGTCTTGCCCAGCCATATGGGATGGTCATGTTTTTGAACGCTGATTCCCCACTGCATGAAATAAGAAAAAAAGAAAAAGAAGACTTCAAGACAATAATTTATTACCAGTGCCTGTAAAAATACAACAATATTGCAGCGTGCAAAGCAAGTCGTGTCCGATAGCCCCAGGCTGTTGGATTTTACTATCGCGTTAGTGAATTTTGTTCGTAATTTGCCCGACAGGCAAGTGCTGTTTTTTGGGGAAATTCAAATACAGAAGGTTTTTGGGCTTATAGTTAAAATGACTTGTGGGCTAGCTAGTACATGCTAGCTACAGCTTACCCGAATGGCAGGCCGTGAAACTGATCCTGTATTGTATTGAAGAACTTTCTAATTTTATCTACTGGAAGCGGGTTCTTTTTAAATTACAATTTTTTTTATTTACTGACATGTATAAATTATGTACAATGTCTTTAAATAACAGTTTTGCATAATTTTTTAATTTAAACTTTCTTTTGCAGTTCAGTGACATAACTATTTCATTTCATTTTGCTTCATTTTTATTTTATTTGTGATAGTTGGAACTAAGGGAGCTTGACTAAACCAAGACTAAAGACATTTTATTTCAAAATTTTATTACAAACACACTGGGTCAAGTACATGCATACCCCACAAGAATCCAACTGTAATCTGATGGAATTGATCTCTGCATTCCTGCATGCGTAATGAGCAGTAATCCACACGTGGTGGTTATGACATTTCTGCCAAATCAGTTTTCTTGAATTTGAATGTTTTCAATTTTACCATTCAAAGATTTCTCAATCTGACCGAATACTGAGAAGCTGTAGCCAAAAATTCACTGCTCATTATGCATGCAGCAATGCAGATTTAAATTTGATACTGGTTGGGGCAGTAACAAGCGAATTATTCATTTTCAAATAATCGATTCATTTATAGAATCTAGTGGGGGTGGGGTGGGGGGAATGCTTGACCTTTCCTGACTATCAGAGACATTAGGTAAACAACATTGTTTCTGTTATCAAAGTTTGTTTACCTCGGCACTTGAGCATTGCAGTGGTATATATAGTTAAAAATGGTGTCATCAGACAAAATACTAGAGAACTTTCTTTGGAAGTCTGGTCTGAATCGTCGTACCAGTGAAGGACCTGTTGATTAAAAACCCTCTGATCACTCAACACTGCAGCATGTTTGTGAAACGTAAATATTTATAAAGGTGGGTCAGACAAGGGCATTGTGTGGCCTGGGGATTTTAGGTAAGGATTTATTGCTTTGGTCATTTTATAGGAAATGGGCAGCAATAAAACTTTTAATCGCAAGTATATATGTTATTCTCTCTGTATCATCAAATATTTTCAACTGCCTGGGCAACCCACAGGACAAATTTCCCACTTCCTGAGCCAAAAAGCTCTTTAATTGCCTCACCAGAAGTCCATTTACTTAAGCGATAAAATGCCCCCCTCTCCCCCATCCAAGGGGAATTAAACAGCAGGGACCATATAACTCTTTTAACTAGCTTTCTGATGATCTTGAACCTGAGTTTGCAGACAGACCTAAGCTTGTGTATTCCTTTGCTTTGTAGCCGATTCACCATGAAAGCTGCAATATTTCCCTTTGAAATCATCCAATCTCGCCACGTCAGCCTCTGAGGTGATTTATTATGCCTCATCCAAGCACCGAGGCAATATATAACAGAAAACCAAGGAAAGGGTTCAAATTTTCTACGCCTTATACATGGGAATGAAATTCCTTATCCCAGAGGACTTTGATGATCAAATTCCCTCCCCCTGGGAAGACAGACATGCTAAATGCCCAAGGTATCCCCAGGGGGATGTTAAAGCTTTTATTTGACTGATACTCGGTTCCTTCATTAAGGACGCCCTGCAAACCGATTCACTCAATTGTTGTTTGCTCAGGAGCGCAGGGGACACGAGGGATAATTGTCATTACTAAAATCCAACTAGTGGTCTATTATAAATGCTGCATTCTGATTGGTTGAACTACTACTAGGCTATATGTTATAGCCTACTAGTAGCAAAAAGTGCGCACTTTTTGGCGGCAAAAAAGGACTAAAGTCTAGCTTTAACTAGCTAAAATTTTTTTATTCTCCATATTTTTGACCAACTAGTTGGATTTTACTAAAACAATAATATTATTCCTCTCGCCCTCATGGCCTCTGAGTCAATAGCCCATTCGGGCGAGCCCATTCAGGCTTGAGGAATAATAATTGTTAAATATTCCTAGTGTATAACTTAATAAGCCCTAGGACCTCACAATGTTTTGCCCAATGGGTGGTGACTGACATCTTCTTGTTACCTGATCATTTGTCTCGCTCAGTCATTTGATTTGCTGTTTTCATTTCCCTCCCTCCCACCCTGGGAGGTCTCAGTTCCTTCATGAAAGACGCCCAAATAGATTCACTGGAGTGTTGTTTGCCGAGGTGCATGGGAGACACGAGGGATAATTATACCTGAGCTATACCTACCCCATGGGCCAGCCGCACGCAGTCCTGCTAATGGATTAAATGGACTTAGAACAGCCCCAAGTAATTTAACCCAAGCTGGAATATGCCTACTGACATTGTCCTCAGTAGGTTTTACAGGAAACCCCCATGGATCTGCAAGAATTAGATGTTGCACTCTAGAAGGGTGCTTAATGGCATAGGAAGTTGCTAAGAATCCTCCAAGGCTGTGTCCTAATAGCACAAATTTTTCCAACCCAATTTTTTCTCGCCACTGTTCAATGGAGTCCACAAATTGTTCCTCAGCTTCAGCTGGGTCGGTGCTTAACTCAGGCCTTGAACTGCGGCCAAATCCCAAAACGTCAAATGCATACACAGTCCTTTTCTCAGCTAAGGTGTCCACATTCATTGCCCATAGTCCGACACCCCCACCAAATCCATGAACCAACACAAGCGGTGATCTATTAGCTGTTGGGTTGAATTTTAATGTCCATATTCTCTGATCATTTTTCAAAGGAACAAATTCGCTTTCGTAATAAGATCGGATCTCTGTGAGCAAAAACAGAAACAAGACAATTCGATCATTCTCTATCACCTAAATTTATTTATAGTTGTTGAAACAACGAATGTCGGTATTTCACAAGCTAGCGGCACGCGTTCTGCCCCTCTCGATCTATTATTGTAGATCTGAAGCTAACATTATTAATTTTTTTCTCGACAAGTGTGTGATCGTTAGTAAGCTAAGGAGGCACTTATAACGCTAACTGTGTTTTAACTAAGGAATCAGATCACGATCAACATATAAAAATACAAATTGGGTTTTGGTATGATATTGAATGCCGGCGAGGAATCCATAAACTTTAAATACAGTAAGCTAATAATATAACTTCGGTGAACTAAGACTGCGCAAATCTTCAGTACAATCTTGTGAACTGAATAATCTTTTAAAGGATATAAACTTAATGATGATTGAAAAACAAAAAATGCAACATTAAGGTGGAAAAAATGATAGGAGACCTTATCGCCAAATAGTTGATTGCATGTCACTGAGACGCCGGCCGGTACAACAAAAAAGAAATTACATAATGGCTATCAAGCGCTCATCGCAAGAGGGTTACTTTACAAACATTCAAACTTACTCTCTAAAATCTGCGATTCTGCGATTTCCAACAATCTTTCGGAAGTTGGACACCAACTAAACCAACCCGAAAACCAAGTAGCTACTTCGTCTTCGGCGCCATCGGAACCCGCAGAGCTACGAACAAACGAACAGAAAAGAATGACTGTCAGGTTTTTTTCGATCAAAGCTCCCCAAAAAACATCATCGTCTCAATCTATTAAGAACTAAAATAAAACACGCCATCACCATCATACCCTTGGTTTTCCGTTCCGTGCATATTCTCAGTTAAACTTCGTGTCAATCGGCCATGTTGCTTGTTTACATGCGTATGAACATCATGGAGAACAACATGCAAATTTCTTGTTCAGTTGTTACGTCACGCGATTTCCGCGCGCCGCCCCACGTTCGTGCAAAAAGCTGGCAAAAGAACAAGGGATTTTTCCGGGATTTTTGTAATCCCCGGGAATAGACTGAAATAGAAGTTTTTCTTTCCGATTTTTTTTTTGGCCGCTGTTGTTAAGTTTTGAAATGCAATCCTTATTTCTAGATCCATGGACAGATTTAGCGTTTCTAGGGGGACTTCCATAAACGGATCATAAATGAAAAAAAATCCACCCTCTGAGCAAATACAATTTGGATTTTTGAGTTTCACTGTCTAATGCATGGTTCAATTTAGACTTGCTACAAGTAGACCTCTCATCCTTTTAGAAAGTCTAGGTTCAATTTCACTTGTAACCGTGCCCCTCTGGGAAGGGCAATTTTTTTCTTTCTTGGAGGTCTATTCCCCACTCCCGGACTAGCCTGCGTAGCAGGCGTCGAAAGGGGTAGGGGGCTGCCACGCAGGCTACTCCCGGGCACACAGAAAAAGACAATTCCCCAGAGGCCGAGCTCCTGATTGACCTCATACACGTTTTCTGCTACAGCTTTTTTATTCGTACAAGAGCAAAACGACGCGTTTTCGCAACTTTCATTTTTAACCTTTTCCTGAGTTTATTGAAAGGAGGGTAATGGATGGCATAATGTAGTTAAAACATGAACAATAAATTTGAAAACGAAAACGAAAACGAAGAACAAAAATAACTGTTTAATGCGCCTGCTTGATAGAACACTTCACGAAAACACTGGACCGAATCTCTGTTTCTCTGTTGTATACATTAAAAGCCTTGTATTTGTTTTCATATAAAAACTTATAATTATCTAAAGCTAAGTTGAAGAAATATTTCTGTCCTTCCTTTCCAGGAAATAAAATCCACTCGAGTGCGCATCATACGCACATTCGTTTCAAAACATACCTTTAAGTTTAAGGACAGACTTTAATTTTGATAAGTTATTCCTCTCCAACCACTCTCCGACAAATTCCTGCGTTTTGCCTTAAAAATACGTAGTCTTTAGGTCCGCAGTCATCGTGTAAACCGCGCGAGAAATAACACGTACTTCGCAAAACCAGAGAAAAGATATTTATTTGCCCCACCCCCTACCCCCGCGACAGGACCACTTCAAACACTTCCCCACCCCCGGGCGCGAATAGCTGGACCTGTCGCGGGGGTTGCCAGGGGTTGATGGTAACAAGTAATATTGAACAATGTTGAACCTTGAACTATGCATAAGCGTTTGTTTGTTTGTGTTGTTTTGTTTTTTCTGGGGGAATTGGGGAAAGGCTTAGAAAAAGTGCTTAAAATCGAGCAAATATTCTCTGTGACTGAATCTATACCTGCTGGCGAAAATTTTCCAGTAGTAACGTAAATATTACAAATCACTTCATTTTTTGGTATCTCTCAGTGTCTTTGACCTTTTTTAATGGTCATTATTATTTTTTCTAAGAGCGACTTCTTTGTCTGGTTTGTAGCTACCTCTCATACTAATCGGCTGTAAAAAAACTTGATAATTTCAATTATTACCGGCATTGTCACGATACTAATTTTCTTTTCACGGTTTCGAGCCCCGATTAAGGAGTGTATGTTTTTCGAACCTAAATTTCTATTTTATTCATTTCTGTTTCATACATAGTTCATGAGGATTTCCCATCACGAGAAGCTCAAGAACGTGACGTTGTCATGCCAAATGTTCCTTTCTCGGATCCTCCAGATTTGTTTTCGTCCCTTTTTTTTAGAGTTTTAGAGTCGTCACGCAACGTGGGTTTCAATATTGTAAACAACCTACGTAAAGAAGTGTTCACCATGACGAGCCATATATAAACAACTTCCAGGCGTGTGGAACTCTCTATATTTGAACGGGATTAGACGCAGTAATAGTTCTTAAAAAGTCCGCTTCCCAGCTAAAGAGGGTAAAAATACTAGAGGTCTCACCTGTAGATTGCGGTCGCCATTGCGAGGGTCTTAATACGAGCGCGCATCAAATACGTGCGAGCCACTTGGGAGACATGACAAAGAAACTGAAGTGCCTTATTATAACTCGTCGATAACACTCGACCGGCTCTCGAAGCTAATAGCATGATCATCTCTATCTAAAAAGGTCTCTGTTCCAACGCGGTACAAGCTATTTGTTGTTTGTATACATGTTTGTACGCTTTTGTTAGCTCCCAGCTGAGATGCAAAGTCCAGACAGTGGGCCAAAGGTCAACCACACGCTAGTTCTGTCACGCAGTAGCCGCCAAAACTACCGTGTGGCAAGAAATTTTTGCCGGAGTTTATTTTTGTGGATTGGCGATTGTTTGTGTTTTGCGGGAACTAATTTTTGCGATTAGGACCGATTGGTTTTTCTTGCTGGGAATTAATTTTTCGATTTTCGTTAAGTACCCAGTACCCAGTACCCAGTAATGGTAATATTGTCGCTTATTTTTTGAGTACGTGCCAGTGAGTACGTGCAATAGAAATATATATTTTCAAACAATAAACCAGTATTTCGTTGTATACCGTTTTGTTTGTAAAAGAAAGAGACAAGTTGTGATTGAACAGACACGGTTTCTTAGTACTGTATTTTTGTGTAGCGAATTTAAATTAGAGAATTATTTACTCTGGAGTAAATTCTTGCAGGAAAAATGTTTCCGGTGATGTTTATTTGTGGGAAAAAAATCGCAAAAATTAGAACCCGCAAAAATATCGTGCCACACAGTAGTCAGAAATAGGCCTCTGTATATCGGGACATTAAGCCTGGCTTTACTTGTTGGTGTTTGGTCTATTTGTTGTTCTTTTTGCTGTTGTTTCTGTGTGTGTGTGAGTGGGTGGGGGTAAAGAGGGGTGGGGTAGGTGTATTCAGATAGTGGGGGCAGCACTAAGAGAAGTAAGTAGTGAGGGGTTGGGTATAGGGAGAGAGGGCAAAAGAACCTCTCTCCTTCCTCCCTCCATCCCCCTCTCTTTAACATTTTTTACTCTTTATTCTCCATTTCTCTTCACTTTCCCCTATATGAACACGGGAACAGGCTACACAGAAAAATACATTGCAGTGAGGCTGTGGCTATGGCTGTTTTGGCTTTATTTCTCTTACTTATTTACATTCATTTAGCTATTTAAATATTTTACAGTAATATGAGTCTTCCATCTATAACTATAATCTAAAATAACAATGTACAACAGACAAGTCTTTTTGCTGTGTCTTCTTTTCTTAGAGAACACTTCAACGTACTGTTTACAAATGTGAAAATCTAAAAATTGCTAACACTCGGAACCCAATAAGATACCATCAAAGGAATTAAGGGAAGAGTCATACAATATGTATGTCCTAAGGGAAAGTTCATTTCATATGACAAGGGGGGGGGGATGAAGATATTGAAACTCGAAGCTTGAAATTTTAGCAGCCCCCCTCGCTAGCGGTTCAATTTTTAGGGGCCCCCTCCTTGGTAGTCGAAAAAATTTCAGAGCCCCCCCCCCTCCTTCAATTCCTTTGCTCCCCTGAAAAAAGATCGCTAGACTGTATTAAATATATTTACTGTTATTGTCTTCAATGGTTTACACTATGACAAACTTGAGATACAGTTGTGATACAATTTTCTAAAGCATTTTTAGGATGAACAAGAGTGTAATAATTACTGAGACTAGATTTGTTATATCTGTAAACCACGTGATATAGCTGAGTTGCACAGGTCATTAAATTGTTGAGTTGAAAACCATCCGATCTGTATGATGATGTCATGTATTGGTATACAAATTTTCGGAGCCCCCCCTCCTAGTGCAACAATTTTTTCAGAGCCCCCCCTTCGGGTGTCTAAAAATTTTCAGAGCCCCCCCTCAATATCTTCATCCCCCCCCCCCTTGTCATATTAAATGAACTTTCCCTAAGTACCTGGAAATCTGTGCACTGATGTAGCAGAATTTCGTAGATTTATAAATACTTGCAAAGCCCTCAAGTCAGGAGAACTTTGGTCAGTCTTCTCGTCTTAGAAAATAAAATTTAAATATTTTGGATCTGTCACTAAAATAGGCTCGATTACCAGAACTGTTCACAAAATCTAGCCCACACTGATCCTCCTGAAATAGCTCTTTTGAGGAGGACCAAAGGACTAGATTCGGGAAAGCGGCGGAAATTGAACTTAACACTTCTGCATCTATTATCTCCTACTACATCCTTCCTCATTTCTTTTTGTTTAACTTAGTTAACATTTTCTATTCAAATTTGTCTTTCTGTTTTAAATTCATTGTTGTCATTGCAGTTGTTGGAAAATTAATGGCAACATCTGTATTTTTTTAGATAATAGTAAACAGAAAAGAAAGAGTGTGAAAAGCCTGAAATATCACATCTTTTAATGTGCTTAGTGTGTAACTGCATTTGTCTTTCTATCCTCTTTTCGACAAATTTTGTCCACAAGCTTGTTAAAATTGTCAGGCTGATCAGCATAAACGTGGTGTCCAGCATCTAAAATGATTCTGATGTCCACAAAACTATCTTTTCTCAAATACTTAGTTTGATAACTGCTCTCAACGCTAATCCATGATTCACTACCATGGATCATAGTTATTGGAATGTTTTTGTCCACGTCGGAAATTCTGTCGATCATAGGAAACTTGGCCCAGCCATAAGAAACATTCATGTTCTTGAATGCCGTCTCCCCACTAACCGAAAAAAAGTAAAATTCTGTCATTAAAATAAAATAATATATGATTTCTTTCCTAATGGATAATTGGAGGAAGTGATGACAAACATCCAGAGGTGGAGACAACATTCTTTGCATTCCCTTTTGGTCTTAAAGTATCCACCTTTCCTTCCAAGTAAGTGGCTAGAGGGGTCACATTTGCAAGTGAGGGAGTCAGCTGGAGTCACAAAGTTCTGAATGACATTGTCTTGTGCATTATTGCTTGACAGACTCAGGGTGCAAAGAAAATCATTTTTACAGCTTTCCATTCAGGCAAGCTGAAGCTAGCATTTACTAGCCCAGACGTCATTTCATCTAGCCCCAAAAGCTTTTTGACTAGCAGAATTGATTTCACAGTTCTTCTGTTATTCACATTCCTCAAAAAACCTCACTTGCCCATCGGGCAAGTCAAAAACAGAATTCACTAGCCTGATAGCAAAATCCACTACCCCGGGCTATTGGACAGCACTTTCTTTGCACGCTGCAGACTATTACAAACTGCCAAAATTAAAGTACATACCTGGGTTTTTGAGCGTTGCAGTGGTAGATGTAATTGAAGATTGTGTCATCTGATTCATCTGATAGAAGTCTTGAGTATTTTCTTTGAAGGTCTGGTCTAAACCTCTGAACCAGTGATGGACCTACCGATTGTATAAAATAATAAAAAACAATAAATTACATGTATATGTACAATACTATTGCCTAGTTAATTATAGCTACAAAAAGGTGCCAATTGTCACAGCAACATAATGTTATTGTGTGACTTTGTCATCTGTACAATCCTGACTGCCTAGCTTTTTTTTTTTTTTTTGGAAACCAAAATCGTCAATTTCTATAACTGCAGCCTCAAAATAAATCTGGCTAAAACAATCAACGTGGCTGGCTTTTTATTAAAAGCCTCAGAAAGGGGATTGTCATTATGTTGCTGTGAAGGACATTAATTTTAAAGCAGTTTGGTCAGGAATGGGATTGCAGTGAGATTTGGTCTGAAAAAGGGTTTCTGGTTCAGGTCTACAGTCTGGGATAGGTAGGGTGGCACATCCCAGTTGAACATAGTCTGGTAAAGGCTAGGGGTATCAGGGTCCTAGTTGCAGTGCTCTAGGAAAACCTCCTTCAACAACCAATAATTTATTGCTGCTGGTGATAAAATAACAAGGGCTTACATTTACCAAAATGTTTTGATTTAAATTCTAAAAAAAAAAAACAGTCATGCTAGAAACTAGTCAAAAATCAATAATAATTATTTTGAATTGCTTTACATTACATACCCCATGGACCAGCAGCTCTGATTCCAGCAAATGGATTAAAGAAACTTGATACTGTGGCCAAAGCTTTAATCCACCAAGGTAAGGTAAACTCAAGTTCTGAGGGTTTCTCTGGGAAACCCCAAGCATCCACCAGGATTAGATGTTGAACTCGGGATGGATGTTTTAGAGCATAGGAACTCGCAAGGTAACCACCAAAACTATGTCCCAGAAGTACAAACTTTTCTAAGCCGACCTGATGTCGCCATTGTTCTATTGACTTCACAAATTGGCTTTCGGCCTCTTCTGCTTTTGAACTAAAGTGAGGGCGGGAGCTGCGGCCAAATCCCAGCACGTCAAATGCATAGACAGTCCTTTCCTTAGCAAGGGCATCAACGTTCATAGCCCAGAAACCCAAACCTGCTCCAAAGCCATGAATCATTACTAGTGGAACTTTCGTTGCATTGGGGTTGACTTTCAATGTCCATATTTTTTGGTTATCTTCCAAGGGCACGTATTTACTTTCGTAATGAGTCTTGATAACTGTGGAAACAAAGTTGAGGTATAATATCATTATCGATCAACGGCATGAAGAACTTGGAGTTTGTTGTTCATGGTTTAGGGTAACCAGTGTGGTAGGCATGGAAAGGGAGGGAAAAATTAGGAGAGGGGATTGGAGATGGAAGGCTCCATTTTGAGTTTTTCTCTCCTTCCTCCTTTTTGCACCTGCCACCAAGAGTTAGGTTTAGGGTATGGATTTTTCGTGCCTAGACTCCCGAGGGGACAAAACGGGGGGGGGTACTCTGGATTTCAATCCCATCGATGATTGAATGGGGGCAAAAATCAAAACTCAAAAAAATCCCTAGGGCTTCAAACAAAACCCAAAAAAATCCACGGGGATACACAGGAACTATCACGAATCTTCAGATTGTTTTGAATACCCTACTTAATTCAAGCTAACCAAAGAAAACCCCAAAATTGAAAATTTCAACCCCCCCAAAACCCTTTGATCATCCCTGTCACTTGAAATCTAGAGCATCCCACTTGAGCCTAGTCTAAGGGTGGCAAAAATGCAGCAGTGAACATGGTCTGGTAAGGGGTACATGTTCCTGACCATTACTACAGTATAAAACCAGTCCAGAATTTCTATGCAATTTTTCCGGAGCTACTGTATAAATGTTCCTATTCTAAGGCCCTGAAGCGGTACACCTGCACCAAATGTTTTTCAGATTACCCCTTACCCCCCCCATCCCCCATCCCCCCTCCATTTTGCCCTTTCCCGAGTAATTTCTGTTGAGATACGGTCCTGCGCTGTAATACTCAGCATATCGGCTCCTTTCTCGCTATAATCATTTTTCATTTTCGTCGATTATGCAATAAAGCCGCCCGGCACAATCACCAGACACAAGCCCGCTTTGAAAAAAAATTCTAAGTCGTCGATCTTAGCTGAAGAGCAAAGAGATGTTAAAGATCTTAGATCATAAAAAAACTCAAAACTCACATCGCAAAATTCTTGCCTCTGCAGCCTGTAGTAATCTCTCTGACGTTGGTCGCCAAGAACACGTTCTGTAGAACCGACATCTTGTTTGATCTTCGACTGCTATCTCCGACGAAGAGACTAACCTATAGATGAGTGAGTAGAAATTTTACACACAGATATTAGCTGAAGGAACAGTTTCTTTGGGCAAAAAGGGACTGACTCATTTACCTCTGGTTCGTGGATTCTGGAAATTCTTGAACAACTGCTGCGGCTGCCATCTCTGAGGTCATGATACAAAATCGTGTTCTTGAAGATTTATCTTCTCAGTTTATGACGTCATTACACTGCGTAAATATAAAATTTCGCAATGAAAATGGTCTCTGATTGGTTATCTTGTCTAAGTGGTCATGTTTTTCATGTAAAGTGCATTCTGTGTCACTGTCAAGTGACTCAGCATTTGGTTTAAAAATATAACAATACGTAATGCTAAGCAACGCTAATGCGACGATCTGCGACACTCACATAACAAAAACAACAAAAGACAAAAGACAAAAAACGGCTTAGAATCGCAGGTTAGAGCAGCGGGTCCTCTGAAGTCGTACACAAAAGTACTTCAATTCAGACTGGAGTAACTTGAAGTAGCCCGTTCTAGGGGGCCGTTCTACCGTTCCAGGAGTCCTTCTTTAGGTAATATATCAGGATATTTGATGATAATTATATCCTTTGGTCACCAAAGTTGTACCAAAGACAAAATGGCAAAAAGCAAGTTTAAAAAGAAAAAAAAAAATAGCATTCTACAGTCTGGAAAAATTGCGAATGTCCAGGGCAGCAAGACAATTAAGAGGTAAAACAAGAATAACATTTCATGAGGTAGGCGATCTTATTTCCTTTTATGTTTATTGTCGTAACGTTTTTCTTTTTTGTCAGAAGAGGCTCCTGCCGGTCGTTTGAGTGAAAAGCATGGGCTACCTGTGCAAGTTAGTTCCCAGTAGTACGCGTTCGTATTGCGCCTGACTAATATTTGAAAGAGTATTTGAAAATGTTCTGAGTAGAAGGGCATTTTCGATTTATTTGCACCACACCATCCTCGAAAATTCGTCTTGAGGAGTGCGTTTAATAGTCACAGATGGATGATCTCATCGAAGATGGAAAAAACAGCAGGTGGATAGTGTGCAAGTTTTGCCAATCAAAAGTGCTGAGACCAAGCACTGCAAGATATGAAGAAAGGGAGGTGAGGTTAACGCTTCCGTTGTTTTTTTCGCCACCATGAAACTTGCCTCCCCAATTTTCGAATGAAGCTAGGTCAGCAGCTTTATTGAATATGCACGGCCTTTCCTGCCCCAATGCTTAGTGGGGCCAAGGGCACCAAATGACGGCTTTGCATGTTTAGGATTCATAGACATGCATAGTTGTCTAGAGTGGTAAAAGCTCTACAGTGAACATTCCTATTAAGTGGTACTATTAGCTTGTTTATCTGCACGATAAATCCAGGGATTCTTAATGCATTTCGAACTGATTGTCACTTTCTTCATTTTTCCCGAAAAGCTGAGACGTTACTTACATGTAAAGGTTCACGAAAACAATAGATTTCTGAGGCCTCTATATCTGTAACTATTTTCGAAAACGAAAATTTTAGGGGCCCTTTCTGAAGAAAGCAGCCAAATATAGGAAGTGAAAATAAATGTAAATAAAACTCAACTCTCGAAAATCTTAAGGAAGTAAATATAAAAGCTAAAACAAACAAAAAAAAAATGGAAGAGTCATGTGGATATAAAAAGCCTTTCTCAAGCTCAGAGAATTTATAGTCTTAGTATTTGCTTCCTCAAACAGATATTTCACATAAAACTGGCAGTCATCCAATTTCCTTGGGTGTACATGTTGGAATTGGATCAGAAGTTGTGCATGTCACCTCACCTCTCAATCAGTTTATTATGTCAACTATTATGAATGCGAATAACTCCACTATAATGGTCATATGGTTATCATTCACTCCATAAAAAAACGACTTTTAACTTCATGTCTTGATTTCTGGCAGTATTTTCATGCATCTTCACAACTGGCAAAAAAAGACAGACTTTGTTATGTACTTTCTCTTATACATTTTCCTTTCTAATAATATCAACAGCTCTTCCTGCCTTTTATGCAGAAAAAGGAAGATTTTACCACAGAAAATCAAGAAGGTGAAACCCTGAAAAGTCACTGGCTTGTCCCCGATATGTTTGCTTTTGAAAATGTTGGCTTTTCAATGACTGTAGAATCCATCAAATATCTAGCTTGTGCTGACTGTGAGCGTGGACCAATAGGATGGCATGATATCACAGACAAGACAAGGTTTTACATTGCACTTGAACGAGTTGAACACAAACAATTACCTCAATAATTTGTGGGTGTACTGAAGTTTGACATTTTTATCTACATGATTATTGTACACCTATCTTATTTTCCTAGAATAATATGTCAAGATATGAATAGTTATTATTATAAAATAAATTAATAATGAACAGCCAATTAAAACCAGAATAAACGGCAACTTTCTAGGAGATATTTCAGTGTCTAGCAATTATTTTAATCTAACTTGCATCCTTTGTAGTGGAACAACCTTTCAGTGGAACTGTCATACATGTATAGCAAGCCTCCATGTAACAAAGTCCTCAGTTTAACAAAATAATTTTATTTTTTACCCCCAGTAAGTATCAATAAATGAAAAAGACCCTCAATATAATGAAGCCTTGTTATATGCGAACTAATTTTGTCAGTCCCTTGGCCCTTTGTTGTAATGAGGTTCCATGTATGTATGCATTTTCTACACGTAGACAAGAAGGTGTGATATCGTTAAATATACCAGTACATGTGTATACAGCAGTGGGAACTCCCCAGACTGTCAACTGTGAAGTTTTTTTCCCCAAGCTGGCTGAACATTTTTGGTGACTTTTAAGTCACATCATTTTAAACATGATGTGACCTAGGCTGGGATGCCATTGCTAAATCTTGGACCCCAGAGGCACAGGTATACGGTATATACCATTAATGTTGACCTCTACGGTAACTTTGTTTTCACACTTAATCAGCAAAAAACATTTTTAACAGAGCCAGTCATCAAATGATATGTGGTCTGCCTCTGTTTCCTCTGGTAAAGATAGCTTCAGCAGTGGCGTGGCATTATGGGCAGTGAGGAAGGGAACGCTTTTACTTTTTCCCTTTCTGAAGAGTCCTTAGCTAATTTATCACCCATTGATGCTTTTACTGAGAAAAAATGTCTTTGTTGTGATTTGGTGGCAAGGCAAATCATTTAGAGACGAGAGGTTCCTTGGAAAACCGAAAGAGTTTGATTCCCTTGAATCACAAGAAATGCCGGATCATTATACTTTTCTGGGAAACTGCCCACGTACCCCTCCCCTAAGCCAACATTAACACTTATTTTTCACTTAGGGCAAAATGTTGGCTTAGGGGAGGGGTAGGTGGGCAGTTTCCCAGAAACATAATGATCTGAAATGCCCCAGGTAAGGTAATCCAAAACCGTAGTCGCGAAAATTTTTGTTTGTGAAATCCGGAATCCTGGGCTTTGGAATTCTAAATCTAGCACAAGAAATCAGCAATCCTGCTAATGATTGGAATCCGGAATCCAAGGTCCACTGACAAGAAATTGAGAATTCAGTACATGGAATCCAGAATCAGCCTAAAGTATGTTGGCCAATCATCTTTTTAATCCTCAATAATGACTAGCTTCTAGTTTCTTAATATTAAATCATTACTAAATCAAAGAGGATAAATTGTGATTTTTACTGAGCTTGTACCCCGATCTATAGTCAACGAAACTGACTTTGTCGACAAGAGATCTGGGTGCAAGATACAAACAATTTTTAAGAAATCTCTTCTCATTCATTTCTACACTGAACTCCTTGATGTATAGGCCATTAATTTTCCATTACCAAGTTCCAAAACTCTCACCCCTCCCTGCTCCCGTGCATTGAACAGGATCCTGTTGTAAGATACATGTTCAAGGAGTTCAGGTTGTGGTCAGGATTGGAGGATTGATGGTGAAAAGTGTGAGGACAAGAAAAAAAGAACAAAAAGATGGAGGACTAGCTTGACTTGCTCTATCTTTTGCCCGTGCTCCATTATCTGAATGCCAAATCTTTAAACTTGTTATATATGGCATTTAATCACTGTACTTCAACAAATGTGTGGCAATAGGTGTCAAGGATGGTATAATTTATAGTATAATGTTCTGAATGTTGGGGCTTCAAAGGTGAGACAGTCCTGCACAAAACTCTGAGCAAGTCTCCCAATTGAACGGTTGATTAAACAGGTTCTCGAAATCCTGTAAATTGGAGGCAAAGGGTAGATCACTCTTAGCAAATAAACAAGTTTGTTTGTAAAATACCAATTTGCAATTTGTTTTATGAGTATTGCATCGTTGTGTACGTCATCCAGAATAATAATAACATCTGTCATTGAACAGGTTTCTGTCCGCTATTATCAATAACTGTTTGTGCAAAACATCGTCTGCATATACAGCTGGAGTTTTTGATTTATTTACTGTAATTTTGGTGTGTTTCTTTGTGGTATAAGATACAGCCATGCGAAGGCAGAACAGTGGTCACAGCAGAAAACGATAGGGGGAGGGTGGGGCAAGCAGACGGAGGAAGGAGTGGGAACAAAAACCTTCATTCAACCCCATGAGATTTTTTGGAACTCCATTTCCCAGCAGGCAGAACAAAAGGCATACCTGATTGGCCGGAAGGGGTGTTTCAAAAATATCAATGAGTTAAATGCAGGCCCCGCTTTCTCCTTTTCTCATCATGTCTTATCGAGCCAGTGAGCACATAAGGTCACCGCGCTTTTTGACCAACACTTTCTCTTCTGTCTTGTGCAACTGCTTTGGCTACTTCCCAGCTCTTCCAACTTGCTTTGTTTTGCTCCTTCTTGACTTGTCCTTCTCAAAGTAGTTTTTGGTCTTCCTCTCGCCCTCCACCCCGAGGAGGCTGCATTGATTGTAAATACGAACCAAAAACGAAAATCACCCCAAAAACCTTGCAGCTACACAGGCTATACAAAACATAATGAAAATAGCCATAGCATGAATTAGCCCGATTAATTTTTTTTACATGATAATAGACTGAAAAGTAATAGCAATAATAATAATGACCTACCTGGAACAAAGACCCAAGTGACTTCATGGGGAGAATTTGCCATCAGATCAAAAGCCACTATTTACCATGCATTCCTCAAATCCTCAATATCAACATACAGATTCTTCAGACTGATCAACATACATTTCTGAAAAGAATTTTTAACGTTATTATAAGAGAATTTGATAAGAGATCAAAAAAGCTTTTTTCCCTTTCGATGATCATTCCAAGACATTTTGTAACCTTTTCTCGTGGTTATGTATTTTAATACTGAAGAAGGAGAGGTTGACCTTGATCACTTTTTGGAATTTAAGGGTTGATTACACTGTCTTACGTTTTAGCAACACTACCACAGTTAAGTTACAGACAAACAGCTAAATGACCAAAAATTGCACAAATGCTGTCAAACCTCAATTTAGTGGCTTCACCCTCGGGGACAATTGAGTCTAACCGCCGCCCGGTTAGCTCAGTTGGGAGAGCGCCGGTCTGCTGAGCGGGAGGTCGCGAGTTCGAATCCTGACCGGACCAACACTCAGGGTCTTAAAAATAACTGAGGAGAAAGTGCTGTCTTTGTAATGACATCTGCAAATGATTAGACTTTCAAGTCTTCTCGGATAAGGACGATAAACCGGAGCTCCCGTCTCACAAACCTTGTTCACATATAACTCTGTGGGACGTTAAAGAACCCACACACTATTCGAAAAGAGTAGGGGACGTAGTTCCGGGTGTTGTGGTCTATCTTCATCACTTACATCATCACTCATCATGGGTTGGGAGGGTTCAGTGGGCTCATAAATGGACTGATAGCGGCTGCCATCGGCGCCCTTAGTATGCTGATGTCCGAGCCCACTGCAAAAAGCTATGTAAAGAGGACATGTATGATTGTCCTCTCAATCGCGCCATTTACATTTACATTTACATGACTCTAGCACTGACTGCTAAATAGAGGATTTAAACTGCTAACAGGTTTGAATAATATTATGACATTTCTAACTTTCAAAAATAAAGACCATATTCAAACTCTCTTCTCTGACAAATAAATTTATTCTCTAAAAAAATAGATTTCTTTATACGATCTGGCAATACATTTTTAAATTAATATTTTTATACATTGTGAATGTATATGTTGAATAAATCACTGTGGTTTGGGTCATAAGCTTTATATCTATTATAATAATTTTCTTTTAATATGATGACAATATTCAATATTTTAAGCAGTTTAACATGCTTGGGTAAATTATGCTGCGGCTGAACCAATAATAAAATAGTTATGTATATATAACTTTCCAAGTTACTATTTTCCTGTATTTTTCTGCATCCATGCAGTGGCGACAGTTAATAATGCCCAATGACTCTCTAAACATAGAACAATAGACAATATCAAGCTCTCCAGCAAGCAATAATATTGAAACTTTCTAGTTTACAAGGTTAATAAAGTGTAATACGGCCCTTAGGTTCCAGGCAATGATGAAAACATTGCAAGTTTCTTTTCTTCTGAAATTAATCTTGCCTTCTTTTTGGTCAAGTAGTATTCAGACAAAAATATAATATTATAGTTTCAAGTAATCACTATTAGTTTATTCTAAATATTTAAGGAACAATGTTGCTGTAAGTATATTATATCCAAAAGAGTTCTGATCACAGAGGGGGTAAGTTATGTACATTATACACTCAAATTTACAGAATTAATTATTTTCAATAACAAAATAAATACACAGTTGGCAAAATAAGACACATGAATTAACATTCACCTGTCAGACTTGCAGTTAACGTAATATACTCCCACGCACAAAACACAGGTCACAGGTCACAAGTGCAGGTCTCTGCTCTATTGATGAATAGCTGAGATAATCAGTTTCCTCTCAAAGCTAAAACTCTATTTTGGGGTGTGTAATTAATTTTAGCTAGGAGACACCGGGTGTTTACTGTTGTCTATTTGCCATTGTACAGTGATCTGTCCTCTAACCTTACTTGTGACCTGTGATCTGCGTATTGTACTTGCCACTGATGTACAATAAAATATTGCATCATTCCAAATGCTAACATGACCAGCTATTGTACGGTACTGTTTACTTAAGGGTATGTTGATCATGACTGCAGTATTAATTTAAAATCATTTACAGTATTACTGAAATGTATATGAGAAAGTTACTAATTCAGATGGTCTTTCTTTATAGTAGAACTGCAATCTAACTCTCACACAAGGTTCCATCAAAGTATTTCCTTTGACTACAGAAAAAAATTAAGAACCAGATAAGCCTTTAGAAATTTCAGTACACACAGTTCGCTTCCTTGAATGCTTCAAAAGTGAGAACTGCATTGATCACTTGGACTGCCTTTATAATGAAAGCAACTTGCTGCTCATTCGCAATTAACATCCACCATCTGCTACCACATTATTGACTCATTTCCAGTTTCTAGCGCAGCACTGTGCTTCACAGGAGTTCCAGGTCTTGAACCAGTTGAACTGTGGGTGCTTCCAGTCAGAGAGTACAATCCATTAAGGGTACTGTTACGTGAAGAGCTAGAACTCCTACTCCCAATAGAACCGCTATAGTCACTTGTTACAACTTGGTCATCTCTTGCCAGTTTAACATTGTATATCTCAGCTATCTCTTTGAGAGAGCTGGGTGTCACAATATCAAGTGTTACGCAGGTTTCAGTATCGCGAATTAATGAGACAACAAATGAGTGATCTCCCCATTTGCAGTCTGTATTGTCAACTCCAGTGATTACGTCTCCAACTTGGACCCCTGCATCCTATGATGCAAAAAAATAAAAAATAAAAAATAAATTAACCCAAAAGTTTGTCAACATATCTTTTTATGTCACATAGTTATCCAAGTAACAAAAAACTGAGGAGACTATAATAACTGCTAACTAAAAAGTGAGTGTGTTACTGATTGACCTTTCAAGTGGTGAGTTTAAAACACAGGTCACCTTCCACAGGTGAGAGAACAGGTCACGATGCTACAGATTATTAACAGCAACGTGTCTCCTAGCCATAATATATCTCTTTACAAAAGTGGTACTTTTATTTTGAGGGGAAACTGTGTGGTTTAGTAATTTATCAATGGAGTAGTGACTTCTACTGATCTTGACCTGTGAAAAGTGACCTGTCCTTTAGACCTGGCACAAATTCTTTAGTGTTTAAAACTGCAGGTACAAAACAAACGTGACAGGACACAGGTCACAAGTGCAGGTCAGAGTAAAGGTCACCGTGCTACAGGAAATAAGCAAAACTTCAAGTGTCTCTGAGCAATACTATAGAGTGTTAGCTTAAGGGGAAACCGCGAATAATTCTTATTTTTATATCAATAGAGCAGTGACTTGCACTTGTGACGTATGACCTGTGTTTTTTGTACCTGCCAGTGTTACCACTATCATGACTGTCTTATAAGAGGATCATCTTTGCAGAATATTTACAAAATCACCTTTGCAGCTCCTTCTTTCTCTACGCTCTGTACAATCACAGGAGCAGAGCCAATAACACTGAAGCCATATCCACCGTTTCTTCTTTCCAGCTCGACAGTTTTTGTTGTACTCCATTCTGATTTTGCATTGAAGATGTGGACAGGACCCTAAAAAGAAAATGGTATTTTTTAAAGTAAACTTTGTGTCCATCCAATATTATACTACTTTACAAATACCTGGTGGTCAAGGAGTGGTAGCATACTACATTTACATAAATAATAATAAAACATGCCATTAACAGCAAAAGATATTTTAGTGAATGGTTTAGTATTTCATTGGTGTTTCCATAATAAAATAGAACATTACATGGCCATTTGAGGAGACCAAATTTCTCTAAGTTTTAGATTTGAAGGAAACCTCGAAGATCTCTCTAGTGATTGCTTCAAAAATGATAAATTAGCTTTTTTTATAGTTCGATCTGTAAAAATTCAAACATGACCCCAACACCAACTCAACCAGCAAGTTCTTCAAGTGTCATAGCGTTATCATCAAGAAGTATAACACTACATCCTGGGAGATGACACTGGCAATCAATGGTTGCATGGTGCCACCATATCCCTTGTTGATTTAATTATTTCAGGATTCTTCCAGTATTTTGGTGTAAGTTGTGTGTGTACATGCAATTTTAATCCCAAAATTGCACATGCTTTATTCACTTATTTAACTGGTGTGTGTATTTTAGTTCATTATTTAACACACTGCAATAGACTGTTTTCCTACTCATAGGCCTTGTCAATAACTGTGCTGTAACATTATGGGTGGCTCCTCCTAAAATGTTTTGCAATTGGTATAGGATTTAATGGAGCTGAAACCAATTGTGGAATTGCACACATTTTAGGCATCCTACTGACGAACAGTTAAGACATACAGATATTTCGAGCAACAACAATTTTCTGTCTGTTCAAAACACCCCATGTATGCACTTAAATTTTGGCAATAATAGTCACACATGACAGAGTACAGCCACATAAGTTAATTAAAGATATGAGCAATAAAAATGCTTAGAAAGGTAACTGAGTTGCTTACCAGTTTGTGAAACAAGTCTTCTACTGATGCACTGTTGAAGTTGGGCTGAATACAACAGGCCTTTACTCTTGGTAATGCTGCAAAATAAAACTCCTATTAAGTAATTATAACTTGAAAAATTCCTGCCACAATAACATTATTAAGGCATTGGGAAGAACATAGACAAAAATATTCAGTGTGCATGGCATTATACAACCAGCTGCTGTTATACGCAAACCTTGATATCATTAAACAGACCTTTTACTGGGGTAGGGGTCATAGGATCATCAAAATCATCTTCTTCTTCCATAGCAACCAGTGTGTTGGTGGTTGTCATGCGAGCTTCTTGAAGAGCCTGGTAAAAGATTGGATGGAAAATAATATGCCCCATTTAAATTATAACTAACATGTCTGACAATGTTAGTGATAGACAATTTGTTATAAAAAATTCATGCAAGGATCCTCAAATTGTAAAATAATGCATTTCTCATTTGTTGCTATTTTACCTTATGTAGACCTGCAATTTTTCTGCAATGCCTACAAATCTGTCTTGCTTTCATGGCTTCTTCATGCAATTTTAGAGCAGAATGAAGGTGCGCTTTGGCTGAAATTTAACCATGTATGTTAGCTTGTGTGCTAATGACCACATTATTAATAAACTAAGTTAAAGAAAAACTTCATTTTTTGCTGGTAGAAAAGACATGCTTAGTTCAATAGTCAACATGACCACCAAATTGGTCAGCTGGCATATGTGACAATTTGTTAGCAGGGACTGTAAAGTAACTTCTACCACTGAACAAAAACAGGCAAGTTAGCCTTTTGAAACAAGAAAAGATAACGTGACTATTGTAGTCTGATCTAACCAGAAATTCCAAAATTATTGCTGTCGTTCTTGCGGATCGCTTCTAAAACATGACAGGGTCAACTTTTGGCGTTATAATGCTGTTATATAGCAGAAATTTCCTGTTTCTTAAAAATCGCAACTTAGCAAATTAAGTTTGATATTGCATTAAAATCCCCCCTGACTATCCAGGTGAATATGTTTCTATGATTAAAATTGACAGTGTCATCTACAAAAAACACTTCCTTTCTTCTAAGGCTTGACTTTTCACACAAAGGAAAAGAGACAATTTTACAATAACATCAGAGTGAAATTTGCTGTCACATTTTGGAGGAGAAAGAGAATTATTACCTTGTTTTTGCCTGGTGGCATTACCATCTGGCTGAGATGTATGCAATAATGACATCACTATTTCTTTTTGTTCTTCATCACTGGGAGTACCTACCAAATATTAAAACAAAAAAATTGTATTGTGTCCCCAAATGGGACTTTTTGCCAATGAGTGAAACAATACAGTGAAAGGAGGTAGCAATTGAACTGTTTAACGTAGTGACTTAGTAAAAGCCCTAATGCAGTAATATTTTTGATACTAAACACTGGATAAATTATCAGACCTTACCAACACTTTTCAGCAACCCATCGGCAACATAATAGTGCGATAAGGCTTTGTAGTGGAGACACATAACCTTCAAATAAAGTAAATTTCATGTATTATTAATAATAACAATGAATTTATTACCAGACAGCTGTCATTCATTATTACCTAAAATTATGTTGGCTTTAATACAAAGGAGAAGTCAACCAAAATTTAACAATTCACACAACTCACCGACATCAAGTTTTTCCAAGAAGAAGGAACACAACTCAAGCAGATTCCAGCATTCATCATCATCTGAGCCCTTTTGTATCTATTACTAACCTGCAGAAAGTAATCACAAGATTAGATAATAACAATCAGGACGCTCAAGGATGCCGCACTTGTTTCGCCCTTTGCACAAATTGTCGCGTTCCCCTCGCTTGGCTCATAAAGCGCCTGTTATGCAGGCTAGGATGCATGTAGTGTGATTTCCAGAATCAATGATTTCCTTACACTGCCATAAGCATTATTGCAACTATACAAAGTAGAAATTGACATGTGATAATATGTTTGACATAACACAGAGAGCCAGTATCAAGGGGGCAGGGGGGGGGGGGTATAATATTATTAAATACTATAATGGTAATAGGACTGAGTGGAGCCCAATTATGTAATCACATGAGTTATTAACAAAAAAAATTAACTCTCCCAAACTTTTTCTTCTCCTCTAATAGCAAGCTTGAAATGAATGGGAATACATGTATTTATACTACTGCATGAGAAATTTCTGCAATTTGATCGGCTTAGAGCAGTGGTATTTCAGCTTAATTTGAAATACCTAACTGAGAAAATTACAAAACCTTTGCGGGTAGAAGTATAAACAAATAATAGCATGATTTGTTTGTGATTTTTGGCATAAATACCATTCGTGACATTTCAAAATTGTCTCAAATTTCACTCGCCTAGCGCCTCGCGAAATTACATGTAACAATTTTAAAATATCACTGATGGTATTTATATGCCAAATATCACTACAAATCCTGCTATTATCTATACAAATTTATATATTAATACCTCTGTCAGTTATTATTAATACTCTACCTCAGCACACTCTTGAGCTGCGCTAACCATGTCTGCTAGTTTGCTTTCTATTCCTTCAAGAAGACGTTCCTCCCACCTACAAACCTGAGCTTGAGCCTGCGAAAAAAACACACAAGTTTACCTTATGCTGGATTTTTTGAAATGACTCAATAGTTGCTTCAACAGAGAAAAATAATAAATCACCAAATGCTGTAAAATTCTGAAAATAAGCCGCAGGGCTTATATTTTTCAAAGGCCCTTTTTTGAGGTGCTTATTTTTGGAAGGGCTTATATTCAGCTTATATTGGGCTAACCTTATAGTTGGAAGGAAATTTACCACTTCTGCTTTCTTTTACTTTGTATTTGAGGGCAATTTCCAAGTACAAGCCCCCAGGGAGGCTTAGATTTGGAGGGGCCATTTAACAGAGGGTTTTTTGCATTACGAGTTTGGGGGGGCTTATACATGGAATTTATGGTACTGCATAATATACACCCTGGACACAACCAAAATATGATAGCTGCTTTCCCAAAAGACAAGCTGGAATCCAAGTTTTTTTTAGCCTTGCAGGTTTTGAGAGGAGGATACTACTGATGAGCAATTGAATTCTCAGAAAAGGTGCGAAAAGAATACAGAAGAACAAGTGAGGAGAATTGAAATATTGTGTGGTTCCAGAAAATATCCATACCCCCCCCACGGAGGGTCACGGAATTTCCTAGGGGTAGGGGGGTCTAAAAGAGACAAATTTCTGAAGGGGAGGGGGGTACATAAAGAGTTTTTCTTTCCAGAGGGTTTGGAATGCGATCAAATGAACACTTACGTATTTTTCCAATTGATTCGGGGTAGCCAAGAAAAACCAAAAGTTCTATCCGTGGAAATAGACGTAGGATTCCTTGTCATATATTTTCTATTATTATCCCGGCGCCAGATGACACGTACAGCTCCGAGGCACACCTCTGAGCACGTTCGACGTCGAGTCAAACAATTTCCCGCGAATTTCAAAGCTTCAATAACTAGATTATCGCATAGTTTTATCGTTTTCTGTGTAGTTACGAGTTTGGAAACGTTAGCAAAGTCGATACGATGCCATTTGTTTGAAGCATAATTTTTTTGTAACCGTGAACAGCGATGAGAGACGGCGAAGATTTCATTTCGTTGTTTAGTTACCGGAATGAACTTGAAAAGTACGTTTTACACATGAAATTAAAAAAAGTTAAAAAAAACTGTAAGGCCTGAAATTTACTATCATTTACAAACTACAGAGATAAAGCGTACAACTTTATTGAAGTATTCCTGTTGAAAGACGAACTTAAGTTTTTAAAAAATATGTTGCGTGACGGATTATGATTCCCGCTGATAAGCGAAGTCACTTCACGGCTCCACACAGGAAAACAACATTTGTTAGCAGTACTGTTCGCACATTATACTACATGTAGATAAAATTACACCTGCAAAGTACAAAAAATATCATGGAGATTAGCATCGAGTCAATTCCTGAGTTTTGGTTTGACAGCAAAAACAAGAATGATGTAATATTATAGTCATTTCGTGTTTAAAGTAATTCGATACGTTGTTTCGCCTATGCATAAATTACAAACTTCGACTAGGTTACAAAACGTTGATGATACCGTCAACTTTCAGTACTTTCTTAGATATTTTTTGAATGAAATCTTCTGTCAATTAAGCAGACGAAAGGTCAGCTGCCAGAACTATAGTGTTAATAAGCTCAGTTGTTAGAGTTTGAACATTTCAAAATAGAGGAAGCGAGAGGCGCGTCTATTCATACGTCTAGAATTTTCCACGGTCATTTTTAAGAAAATTAAATCTCATAGCCTCCTCCAGCAATTTTGTACCTTACTTAGCGAATATCTCCATAAATAATGTTCCATGAAATAGCAAGTGTGGTATGGCCAAATCGCTTACGTGAAAATTATGCCGCTTTACGTCTTCATCTGAATTGTAACTATAATCGGCTGCGGCTAAATTTTATTTCGGCACTAAGTAGACCAAAATAAATCAATGAAGTCTTTTTATTTGTGGATTTGGAATTTCCTAGGGGTAGGGGCGACCAAGTGAAAAAATCATGGAAATTCCAGGGGGTAGGGGGGAGCAACCTGAAGCCCTCTGGAACGGAAAATCCGGGGGGGTGGGGGCTCAAACTGTAAACAACCCTCCGTGGGGGGGGTATGGATATTTTCTGGAACTACACATTGGTAACATACCAGCATAACAGCCATCAACATGTCCATCAGCTCTGGTGTTAAGTCAGCACTTGGGGAGTTGATGAAATTATCTTTGATAAATCTGAACACACCTGGAATAATAATTAGCAATATTGAATGAGGCTGAGTGTCATCTGAAGAAAAATGGAGAATGAGGAGGGTATTATCTGCCAGGCCAAGGCAGATTGACGTCATTCTTCACATATTCTTCCAAATTTGGTCGACAGTATCTGGTTATGATGGATAATGCATGATATTTTACTTAATCAGTAATGGAAAAATGTTTTGATTGAATAATATAATGAGGGATTTTTTGTCTCTGCAAAAATGATTTTTAGAAATTTAAGAATGAATTTTTTCACACTAACCAGCAGCTTTCTGAAAAACATCAATCGCTTTGGTAAGACCTTCTTGAGTTCTTCTGTCCTTCATAAAGGGAAAATTATGAAATGTCAGCACTTATTTGCCCTGTCCCAAATAAGCATCCAACCCCTTGGAGTGGAGAATCCACAGGTAACACAAGATAAAACAAAATTCCAAATTACAGTTGAACCTGTATTAAGCGGTCACCCTCGGGCAATGGCTAACTGACTGCTTAATACAGGGTGACCTCCTAATACAGGTTGCAAGAAAAACAGTTCAAAGAATTATCTCTCCAGTGCTGATCAGGACAGACGCTTGACGTCAAATAGAAACATTCATTTCCGGCATTTTAATGATTTGCGAAAATAAACAAGGAAATCAAATTATTGTTGTACCTCGTGTGTTGCATTATTATTTTGAAACTGTATGAATGCCGTGTGGCCGTTTACTACAGGCTAAGACAATAGAGAAAGTCCTGCTGGGACTTCGCAAATGGTGACCGCGACTGCGTAATAGAGGTCGAAATTACAGTACATCAAGAGAAGTAATTTTAGGGACTTTGAAAACTGACCGCTTAATAGAGGGTGACTGCTTTATACAGGTTCAACTGTAGTTGAGTCCATTGTGGGCACAGAAGAAGGATATTGGCGCTGCTTTGCAGATGTTACTAACTGAGGTTAAATTACATCTGTAATACAGGCTACAATCTTTGACAAAACTGTTGAGAAAATTGTGTACTTGGGGAGCATTTTTCTAAACATCATAGCTGTACTGGTTCTTCCCTCTCCTCCTTCCCCTGAAAGCAATGTTGTTGCGTATTCAAAAGAAAGCTTGATCCCTGGGCGTTTGTAGGAAGCAACATTGAACTGGGGGAAGGGGATTTCTTTCCGCAAAGGCATCGTTTTGGAAATAGTTTTGTTTCACAGGAAAGTGGACATGATGGGGAGAACTTTCTCAAGTAGTTTTGTTCGGGATTGTAGCAAAAAGGTTACCATTAAGGCAGTGTGGTACACTACTTAAACTGCGATCATGCCCTCTCTACATGTATATCTTTTGGGAAGGAGAGCATGATACAAATTTCTTACAGATCACATGTAAAAAGTGCCAGAATCTGGAGTTATTAATTATGACTGGTCCAGGTGTACAGTTCTGTTTTAAATGGCTGAAAGTAAGATTTGACGTCCCTCAGGATTGCGACACTTGAATGAAACAAAACCAATTTACTGCCAATATTCTCACCAGCTTATGTTTTCTTTTTTCGATTTTGTGGCTGATTAAATAATATTGAAATAAAAATCCAGCTGATGTTACTTGACCACAGAAATATGCTTTTGCTAATTTTAAGAGGAAAGAATCACTGAACATAGCTAATTGTTTTGATTTTCCAGCGTAAAGAGATCAGGCATTTTCATTTTTTCATGCCATGTTTATGACTAGTCAACCAGATGTTCATTGATTATTCTAAAGCAGGGGAAGTTGGTGCTCATGAAAAAATAAAGGCACTGTTCTTTATCCCCACTCTGTTCTAGAAAAAAAAATCACCTGATTGCAGGTTATAGCTTTCTGCACAATACAAACTAACATTGAGTTAAGTCTCCTTACTTGCTTTGCTCCAATTTGACTCCAGATAGAACCAATGTTAAAGAGAATGCTAGCCTGCAATTAAATTACAATTAAAAAAGGAAAATGATTCTCTAAAAAGAATTTCTTCCGTTACAGTAGCTGCCGTGATCCTTGCCCCCAAATCCCAAGGCAGGAGGCATCTTTTCACATGGGTTTTTATGAAACCTCTTTTCCGTTAACAAAGTCTATTTCCTGTACGGATTTGTAGATTACTTTGATCAACTTTGGTTGGTTATTTGTTGGTTTTCACGTTACGAAAATTTATGATTTTGAAGGGAAGAAATTAAGCTTATTTTGATGCTGCAAAAACTTGTATTTCACAAGAAACTTTGAAGAATTAATAACCTAAAGGCTGAAATTTGGTCAGATAAATAAGCACCATAGCAAAGGATTCGAAACTGAGTTACAGCCTGTTGCCAAAAGTCAGAGTTTCTTAAGTTGGTTTTTATGCATCACCATTTTCAGTTGGAAGAGTGACAAGGCCATACCTTTTCAAATGCCAGAGACCTCTGTATTTTTGGTAGACCAGTTGTCATATCAAACCTTAGGAAGACAGCAACACTTCAATAATTATTGTTGAAAGGTAAATAATTACTATTCCAAATGATAAGTAATGTTGAAATTATAGCAAAATGCCTTTTAAGGTAATGACGTTATCGGCTAACTCTCTCTCTAAAGCATTAACATTTAAGATGCCTTGATTATCAATGTGCCATTAAAAAACTTTTTATTTGCCTACTAGGTAGACTATCTTGAAGTAAAGTTGTATAGTATTTTCTCATATCATAAGTTGTCTTACCAGTGAAAGTAAATTGGCATGGCTACTCCTTTTCTTTGAGGAAAGAATTTCCTCTCCACAAAATACAGTTGATTGTAATACGAGAACAAAGCATGAATACCACCCTCACCTCTGCTGACCTTGCACACAGCTTCCTAGGAACAACAATAACAAGTTGGAAATGAATCAAATCAACTTACAGTACAGCTCAGAGATAAGCATCCACCTTAACACCCTTCAAATGCGACAAAATTAATATGCATTAGCGAGAAATTTGCTAATGAAGGTTAGTCTATTTATCTAACTCGTTCCAGAAACAAGTTTGCACCAGAACTGATTAGTATAGTTTATATTGTAGTCACAACAGCTGCAAACAAAAAGCCTAACAATGTCTACAAGATTCGGTTAAGTTTGACGAATGTGAACTGAAACAGGGTTTTGATTCTATACAGTAATCGTGGCTTGACCTCATAATTCGAACTAGACCAAAAAAAATTTGCAAAATAATTTTTTTAACTGGTGCAGAACAGCATTGCTGCATCAATAATGATACAGAATGCTTATACAGTTTAAACTCTCTTCACAAAAACTTTCACAGGGTTGCAGAGGACAGTCTACTTGCATGCAGTTGCCACAATAAAAACCAGAAAAAATTCAAGTGGGTGTACAACAGTACTTGGGCCTGATCAGTGTTTAACCCAGAGTTAAGAAAGTTCTTCATGTAATTAATTTTGAGGGCCCTGAAAAGTACATTTCACTGCACTTAAAGCAACCAGGGAAATAATTAATTTTAGCCACAAGGAAGACACCTTAATATTCATCCACATTTACTTCACTTTAAAATAATTATTTACGTCATGTTTGTTTTTATCAATTAAATTTATCACTGAGAAACTACAAGTACAGTGGAACTTTTTTGTGTGTGTTGCCAATGCTCCTCTGTTCTCTAGACAGCAATTTTCATCAGTGGCAAGAGGAGAACCCAACTATAAGAGGCCCAAGCCCACAATAATATTAATATTTTGCTCCTTCTTACAAGTGTCCAATAACTTTATGCCTTTATTTGCAATGACAAACCTATGCAATTACCTCTTATAGGTAGATTTCCAGTCATAACTTTTTAAGTGCACACAGAAAAATTTTATGGCCAAGAGGCAATTCTTGAAAATGTAAAAGTCAAGCAAGGTTTAACTTTTACGGATACATAATTATTATGCAAAGCCTTTTATACATTGCAAATTTATAATTTACGAAAATACATTTCAGGTGCAAAAGTGAAAATCCACCCTGATGCAATAAAAACAAATATTGGTCGTATCATTGATATTCACCATTTTCACATAGACCACAATACACTTTGTTTACCCCCAAAAGTTTGCATAGCCATTGCTTCCAAATTCTACTGGGCATAACAGTCGTCCCATATGCCAAGAGAAATCAAAGACAATGGCTACGCAAGGTTTTGGAGAGTAAACAAGTGCATTATTATGGTCTAAGGGAAATTGGTGAATGGGAATTTTTGTAACATAATGGGAGCTTTTCATTTAACCAAAACTTCTGGTTTGAATTCTCAGCAACTTAAAGTAATGAATGGAAAAGCATTATCAAAAATTTTTGAAAAAGAGGACAATCTCACGTGGTATCCCAAAATTTGCGATAATTTCTTCCTGAAACTTTTCTTTTCTCCTTTTGCTCCCTAAATTGACTGAACTTGTGGTTCAATGGTTCGCATTTCAGAAATTTAACAGCTTCAGAGTTTTCACAAAGCATTCTAGTAGCAAGAGAAAGGTGTAACGTTACAGGAAAATATTTTGAAAGAGGCTCCTCATCTGAATTAAAAATGGTCACAGGCTACCGAACATTAGCGAGAGAATTTTTCACAGTAAACGGAGAATTCCTTAATCTCTGATGCCTAATGAGCACCCTGCAGCTTTCGGTCTTTCTGGAAATTTTCGGCACCATTTCCAAATTTTCGGAACTTGAGGTCAAATGGAAAGCGCCCAATATCTCATTCTAATGGTCTTGCTCAAACATACTTTTATGAGTTGCTAAACAAACCTTTCTAAGATTTTCAAACAGCTCCAACTCATTTTCATAGTCGTCTGGAGCTTCACCATAATGATACAAAATAACATCCTAAAATGAAACAAAATAATCATTACCACCTGCTCAAGTTGCTTATCAGCTGTTAGAATGGGGACTATTTAAGTATTGACGCCAAGGGATTTAAAATTTTACAAAAGAAGTAAACTTGAGAAAGAAATAAAAAATAACACTTTGATATAATTATTTTATGTGCTTTTGGTTTGCTATGAGATGTCATGCGGTTGCCTAGGGGGTTTTACTTGGGTAGTCTTGAAAACAGAGACCCCTAGGACCCCCTAAGACCCCACCGAATGACTCTGAACTTTATTGATTAGCTAGGAAACTGAGCTAATTAACTTTCAGGTCAGTTTGTCCAGGGTAATGACTTAAATGGAACCTGATTCACTCAGTTTCCTAACCCTAATCAATTAAGTTCAGATTCATTTGGTGGGGGTCTTAGTGGTCTTAGGGGTATTTGTTTTCAAGACACCCATTTTACTTGTAAAAGGCAAACTACAGTGAATAAATGTAGTAGTGCTTGGGCTACATGTATTATACACTGTAAGAGACCTGGTAGTAATCAAGGATAAAGAAAATGCATTTGCACATAATTTTTACACAGCAATATTCCATATAACTCACCATTACCACTTAATATAAGACAGTGAGCTATGTACAGTAAATTCATAAAATGACTTTAGAACAGAGAATACAGTGAAAATTAAAGTGAATTCTACCCAAACACAACCAAAGGATGCCTTAGACAAGCTAAAGTGCAAACAAAATTTAGCATTTTTGATAGCAGAGGCAGAAGGGGAGGGGGGGAGGCATGGGTTACACAAAACTTAAAGGATCTTACTCTTATGCATAGGCAGTATGGTTAGCATACAAGGTACATCTGCAATACTGCCTGAAATATGACTAATACATTTATTGATTGCACATTATTACACAAAAAGAACCTTCCTGACCCTTTCAGTTTTCAACTATGATTAAGTTACACTACATAAATCAACAATGTATAGGTTTTTCATTAATGGGGGAATTTTATCAGCTTACAGTATATGCCTTTTTGCTCAAATCTGTAGAAAGGTACAAAAATACAAATAATGACATTCACAGGTATATATGAAACAGATAAAGCTGTGAAATAAAAAAAGCCAACATATTACATCAAGATCTTGTTCCACCAGCTGACTTGAGTGATTCAGAGAAGAAATAATGATCTCAAATGAGTTAGCTGAATTTGATTATGAACTTTCTAAGTTGATAAGACAAGTATTACTGTATACTTTGCAGTTACACTGTATAGCAGCTAGTTATTGTACTAACTTTAAAATTAGGCTTGAACTCAAGATCCTTTGTTTCTCTGAGACCAACAGCAATCAAAGGGATCTGGTGCTCAACACTCCTAAATTGCATATCAAACAAATGCATTAAAATAAATTAATAGTTATAACACATGTAATAAATTAGTGACTGTCAATCTTTCAAGATGGGAATGTTGGCTAGACTTTTTTTCTGCAAACACGCACTGGCCATCTTCAGACTAAAAAAGGATTATCCATTTCAGAGGGGATATTTGACAGATGGATAATCTGTCTTGATGTTAAAATACGATAGTGTTCACTTTGGATTAATGAAGAATCCATCTGATTATTTTTATCCATCTGGCCCGGGTTGTTCAAACACTACTGTCGACTCCCGGTAACTCGAACCTTTGAGGGAAACAGAAAAAAGTTCGAGTTATCGGAGGTTCGAGTTATCGAGGGTAAAATCAAATAGCAAATGTTCTGAAGGGAAATGAAAATTGCTTCGAGTTAGCAGGAGGTTCAAGTTATAGAGGGTTCGAGTCACCGGGAGTCGACTGTACATAGCATTATTCACTGGATAAATCACTGTCCAGCAGATAAGGTTCAGGGCAACCAATTGCAGCATGCAACGAAGGTAGTGTCCGATGGCCCGGGGCTAATGGATTTTGCTATCCGGCTAGTGAATTCTGTTTTAGACTTGCCCGATGGGCAAGTGATGTTTTTTGAGGAATTCAAATAAAAGAAGAACTGTGAAATCAATTCTGCTCATCAAAAAGTTTTGGGGGCTAATTGAATGACGTCTGGGCTAGTAAATGCTAGCATCAGCTAAAAACGATTTTCTTTGCACTCTGAATTGTGTCAGCTAATAGATAGAGATTTATGCATTGGATAGTGTTATCTATTTCTTGAACTACTGGGGGCTGTCTATTAATCCATTGCTAGTATGAAATGGCCATTCTAACTCTCTCAAGATAGAAAAATCAAAGTTTACTTCAAATAATGCATACTCAATGACCTTTCACAGAAGATTAATAGACATGTATTTTTTTTAATTCCAGCTGACTTCCCAGACAGGAATATTAACTTTAGTTATAAAATTCAATAATCACCTTCTAGATTTTCCACAAACTGCATTATAATCTAAATGCAGCCTGTATTTCATGAGTCAAAATGAAATTCAGGTTTAAAACTTTTTAAGTTACTGGTTACTACGGTGATTCTCACTTTCCTTTGTATTGTAGCCTCTATCTTTTATCAATAATAACAACATGAACTATGGCTAAGAGACATTAAGGGAAATTGAGAATCAATGCATGTTAAAAGCTTTTAACCTTACTTTACTTTGACAACATATTTACCATAATATCTACATGCATAATTTATACCACACCTGTCAAATTGATAGACATCAAATGTACTGTTAATCCCTTCCAATTCTTCTTTCAGCAAATCCAGCTGAGAATTGGCAAAACTCAACTCTGTCTTGACAGCAAGTTTTGTTTTACGATCATTCGTTAACCTGCAACAAACCAATTAAACTCTTTGTTGTTTAACCACTTTCAAAGACAATTTTTTTTTTCCAATTTTAAAGAAATTCCTAAAATACACTGCTATTGAAACTTCGGCATGTGGACACTCTAGGGAAACAGAGTGTGGCACCAGGGGTTTCAATAAGCACCGACGACCGACGAACGTGTCGGTTATTTTGCTCAGAGACTGTCGGCTACTTTTCTCCCTGAAAGAACAAGCAACTTGCGCTTACGATGTCGTAAACAAATAACATATTATCATAAAATCTGAATGAAAACATAAAGGCCCACTCAGGTTTTCAGTTATGCTTTGGTTATGCAAACTCTGTATTTCAGTCAATTCTTCACAAGTTTCTTTGGAGGTTTACACATAATTTGTTCTTGTTCAAATGTACGTTTGATCATTGCTTGTAAGTTGTGTGGCTGATAATCAGATGCTGAATGAAAGATACATTTTCTGGAATGAAAAACACACTCTTTCATACTCAATTTAGTCCCCACAATGCTTGAAATCACATTTTAGGGCTTTGAAATTTCAAAGTTTTCTGAGGGAGCATGCCCCCAGAACCCCCTAGAGGTGAGGATTAAGAGCCCCTTGTTGAGACAATTGGGTATTCTACTCAAACCTGTTGGCTACTTCAATTATTATTGAAATCCCTGTGGTACCTTAGGTTGTTCAGGTGGAAAACCCTTTCCACCAGACTTAAAAAGCTACTGTAGCAAGTTTTTAGGCACTCTGTTGTCAGGGTTGTCACTAACATTTCAAGTTCCCGGGTAAATACAACAAGTAGGCAGGGAATCAAACAGCTAGGGACTTCTTTTGGTTCCATGTTTCTTCTACTTTCCAATAAAAGTAGCTGGAGACCACACTCAATCTCCAGCTTCCCGCTCTTAATGACAGCCCTGATTGAACTCAAGGGCAACAAACAAATTAATAATCTCAAGATAACAGCATAGATAAAATTAAAACCCGAAGTGGTGAAAGTCAACCAGTTGTTTAATTGGCTTACAATTACGGCTGTATGAGGAGTTGAACTCAAGACTGCCGAAAATCAACTCCAGCTAAAGCTCAAATTGAGACTTGAACCCAGGATCACTGGATCGTGAGGCCCTCCTTAATAGGAGGCTACGTATGTCCCAAGTCTGAATTTCAAAACCTGTTGTTTGTATTAAGAAGGACACCATGTCCCTGCTTTAATTTTCTATTTTTTTAATGCTTGTCTTTGTCGCTGTCATAGTTTCAACTCATTTTTGTGTTATTCGTTGCCACTTCATGTTTATTACATGTAAGGCTCCTTATAAAATATTATACCTACATGTATAAATAATGCAAATGTCAAAAAATGTGGATGATATGGCTCATTCAAAATGAGTGATAATTTTTGGATAGCCTTCGATTGTTCTGATTATCTGAAACTGTTTCCATATGATCACTTCATATTTTTCTTGATTATCCCAATCGTCTAGATAGAACTTAGATTTATCCACACGATCAAGGTCAACCCATTCAAGCGGGTCTTTGGCATTATTGTTCTCCGGGTAGTGTTTCCATATTAAATCAGCTGAATCACCTGAACATTACTAACTTGAAACAACTGGGGCAGTCCAGATGATCACATGGAAACTTCACGACCCCGGTTGGAAGCACATAATGGCATGAGTATTTGGGGAGCCTTCCCCTCTAACCAAACTGCCATTGCAAGCTAGCCTTTCGAAAGTTTGTGAAAGATCTGTGAAAGATTTGCCAAATGCTTTTTTTCAAAAAAGGTCATAGACTTATGGCCAAGGATTTTAAAAAAGACTCCAAGAGCTCTCTAACAGCAGGGAAATCACAATATTTGAAAGAAGTTTACAGAATATGATTTATAAAATTAACATTATTGGTGTCTTTTATGTAATTGTTTTAATCAGACGTGAATCAACATTGAAATCGTCTACAATTTTTTCAGACTATCGGGTCAAGAGAATTTAAAGCTTGAAAACAAAAAAAATAAATATATATTATTTTCAAAATAACATCAAAATAAAATAGGAAAGTACTAGATATGAAGTTTCTAAGGCTTGAGTTCACGTCCAAATTCAAATCAGATGCCCACAAGAAAATCTATTTATAGTAGGCTAAGCTTATAATTCAGTAAAAGCTTTTTAACTTAATTTTAGAAATCTTGACAAGAGAACAAAACCTAACCTGAGAGCTTTCATCAGATTTTCTGCTCCGTCTCGCAATTTTGTCTGCCGAAATATTTTGTGATTTAAAACTTGTCTCTTGTGTTGAAGTTTCCATCTGGCAGAAGTTTGACGAGCGCCAAATTCGCCGTCGTCCTGCTGCGTAAAAATTACACAGAAAAATATCAGCGTACTTAAGCTTTTTACAAGTTAACACTTCATTGATCACTATAGATAACACCAATACCAGCCGACAAAATAACCATCCGTTCTGTGTAGCTTTAAGGCTTAAATTAAAGACACATCGATCTAGTTATTTATGAAATATGATGAGATAAATGCCCGTAGATCAATAACATACTTCAAGGGGTTCATTGTTATCATAGTTGAAAGACCCGTCGATGGTCCGGTCAGATCTAGGAATGTTATTCTCAAAAACAACCTTAATTAAAATGAGCCAATTCGACTGCTTCAGGGAATGGAATATCGCTCACTGCGAAATTAAGCGGAACTTACCACCACCGAAATAGAATTTGCGCGCTCCTTTTTGAGAACAGAAGAATCACTGCTCACCGCCATCAGATCGGTTGCCATATTATGTTAAAGGCTGGTCATTTTTCATCCAGGAAAGTTCACCTCACAAATTAAACTGGGCAAGTTTTAGAAACCAATTCAAACGTATCGGATCGATAGTTTGTTGTCTAGGTGCGTGTTTCTATTTCCGTTCTGTCAAATACCAAAAATATATGGTCACTTTCCGCTCATTTGCAAACCAAAGGAGCGAGGAGAGGTGAACGGGACCACGTGACTATGATGTAAAAAGATCCTTCCCGCCAACCCACAATCCCCGTCTTACGGGATGTCAAAAGCGTGCCCATCCCCACGGTGGGCCGGGCGTTCATCCCAAAAACCCTACTGTGGGGTTAAAAGTAGGAAATGCCATGCCCCCACCCCGGACAACAGCAAAATTGCATTTTCCAGTGCTTCAAGTCGACCTCTTTAAGCGAAGCGGCCGACCAAGAAGTAGCGAGAGGTCCCGCACCATATTAAATCCGACCAGGAGCCAACGGCTCCTGATCCGACTAAGGACTTTTTTGAAAGTCCAGTAAAGAAGCTGCAAATACCATATTTATGTGAAGTCTCTAGTAATCTAATCAAAACGCGTGAAGCGCCCTACGCAAATCGTTCCTAGCCGCTAGGCATAATTATTGCAAAAAAGATCTCATCCATCTGATTAATATCAATGACAGAACTATAAACTAGCTAGAATTTTAATAATACCTTTCTTATTTTTGAAGACGTTTAATACGTAAATGATAAACAAACGACCGATGAGCTTAACATGAGTACCTTATTTATTCGATTAAACGCCGCGGTGTTTATTAAATTTCTAGCGTTTTCAATTTCGCGTGAATTTGATGTATGTAAACCTAACTTTTAGAAAATTCGCGTTAATTTTGTGTAACGTAAATTTTCTTAATTCGCGCTGCCAACGTCCATTGTTAAGTTTCTATCAGGTACTCAATAGCTTACCAACCCAAATCCACAGATGCGCTCAGTGTTGCTGACCATTAGTATCGCAGCTCTAGAAGAGGCCTTTGCGCGCGCAAAAGAAACTTAACATTGTTTGTTGTCTATGACATCACTAAAAAACGTCACTTTTTTGAAAAAGTTAACCGAAACTGAAACTTGACGGAGAGCCGATTTTATAGAGTCAGTGATTTTATCTTAAACTGGGATTGTTTTGGTACATTTTAAAGATTCCTTGGACTAAGGATGGTACGGATATTATAATAATATTACAATGTCAGGTCAGATGATGTAAAAGTACTCAAATCGCGCTGAAACTTTGTAAAAGCAAAGACAACGACTCCAGGTGACAATATTTACATTTTATTGAGAACTTTTGTCGCTTTTACTTCATTTATTTCATGCAAGTTTGAAACTCTATTTTTCCCATACAAACTCTCATATTACGCTTGGGCCACCTGTGGCCCAACAAGCTGCAGTACCTGCGATCAAAGCGACAGCGGCTAGACTAAGATAATAAGATACAGAGAGATGATTGGAAAAATCTCAAAAGAACCTCACCGATCTCGAGAAAATTTAAAGAACATAATTCGAAAAAAGTTACAAAGGCTAAAGGAATCGCAAGAAGACATCAAGTGGAGGTCTAAGAACACCGCTAGGGATTAAACGATGTGAAAGGAAAAAAACTGAAGTTTGAAGGCGCACTGAACTTCACAGTTAAAACTGTGAAGTTTTAACAGTGAAGTGCAGTGGGCCTTCAGCTTAAAAACGAGGCTTGCCGGATCAGAGAGCCCAGGAGCCCCAGCAGACACAAAAGGAACTTGAACTAGCAAAAATGGAACTCAATTTGGGCTACAGCCTGGGCGAAAGTATCTATAAGCACCTTATATATTAATAACTGAGGGTACTTTGAAATAATTCAAGTAGCCCGGCCCGCAATCGTCTGGGAGGAGCGACCACCACATAAGAGCTCGACACTAATGAAGTAACAACAACTTGTTGTTTGTGATGAAAAACCGTGATTGCAGTGCTGCCTCACCGTTAAAGCATAACAATGTCCTCTTGTCACTGATCAAAACCATCTTTGGAAGCAGCTAGTTATAGTTATAGTACCGGTATTAGACACCAACAAAATACCTGCACCTGCATGTGAACATAGTGAAGGAAACGGAAATGATTCTCGAATTACTCTGGGAGCGCAGAATGTCATCCAGTAGTCATTCAGGAGGAACATCATCTGTTCCCAAACAGTTTATATATTACATCCGATCAGCCATGCTCCCTCCCATGAGCTAAACCCAATCGAGTTCCCGCTGCTTAATAATAACACCACCTACTGGTCTATCTTTCAAATTCCTGTCGTTCCTCAATTATCAGCTGTCCACATTGAAGTGCTCTTAAGACCGGGCAACCACCAGCGCAGCAGTCTCATTTAATGTGTGCACCCGCGAATGGGAGAGGTGAAAGGAAGTGGCTGAGCACCTCAAATAACGAAGATTGAGCATGGGCAATTGCAGCAATTGAACGCTCAATTTTCGATTATTCGAGGGGCTCATTGCTACCACGTTTACTAAAACAGTGAGAGTTAAGATCACGTAAGATCACCTCTTGCAACAAGCCGCTTTAATTTGAATCTTCGGCAAAGAAGAGTAAAGAGGAACTCGAGAGATGCTGTCTTTGAGTGGCTACGCACGCGTATGGTTGGTAAATTTTCGTGTGCAGGTTGTAATGCATGCATGCTTGTTATGTTGGTGAAACTAGGCAGCCGACATTTCTCTGCACGAGTGCGCGAGCACTTACTTTCCGATAGGCCTTCGAACGTTTTAGACATCTACAGAGTTCAGAGCCGTGCAGAACATCCTGCACACGGTGACACCGGATTGCTTCGCGAGATCCTGGACTCTGCAGCTACTAAGTACCAAGAAGTAAAGCATAGGGAATCCATGTTTATAAAATGAGAGAAATCCGACCTAATGCAACCAGCTGCATTTAAAAGATTCCGTGAAGTTGTATCAGTGTACAGCACTACGAGAACGGCTAGTAGCAATAATTGCTAATTCGGCTTAGCTTGTTAGGCTATGATAGTATTTTGTTGGTTTACAGCAACAAAATGCCATAGCTCAACAAGCTGCAGTGATTAATAACCTGCGATGGCGGCAGAGCGTCAGCGGATGAAAGAAGATAATCTGATCCAGAGAGAGGATTTAGAAAAACCTCAAAATCGGAAAATAATTTGAAAAAGAGTCACCACGGCTAAAGGAATCGCAACGAAACATCATTGATGTGTTCTTGCGATTCTTTTAGCCGTTGATGAACAAGCGGAGGCAGAAATCGCTCCTAGCCGCTGGGTATGATTATTGCAAAACAGATCTCATCCATCTGATTAATATGAGAACTGTAAACTAGCTAGAATTTTAATAATACCTTTCTTATTTTCGAAGACGTTTAATATAGTGAATGATAAACAAACAACCGATGAGCTTAACATGAGTACCTCATCTATTCGATTAAACGCCGCGGCGTTTATTAAGTTTCTAGCGTTTTCAATTTCGCCTTAATTTGATGTATGTAAACGTAACTTTTAGAAAATTCGCGTTAATTTTGTGCATAGTTTTGTGTAACGTAAATTTTCTTGATTCGCGTTGTCAACGTGCATTGTTAATTTTCTATGAGGTACTCAATATATAGCTTACCAACCAAATCCACAAATGCTTTATTACTGACCATTAGTATCGCAGCTCTAGAAGAGGCCTTTGCGCGCGCAAAAGAAACTTAACATTGTTTGTTGTCTATGACATCACTAAAAAACGTCACCTTTTTGAAAAAAATAACCGAAACTGAAACCTAACGGAGAGCCGATTTTATGGAGTCAGTGATTTTATCTTAAACTGGGATTGTTTTGGTACATTTTAAAGATTCCTTGGACTAAGGATGGTACGGATATTATAATAATATTACAATGTCAGGTCAGATGATGTAAAAGTACTCAAATCGCGCTGAAACTTTGTAAAAGCAAAGACAACGACTCCAGGTGACAATATTTACACTTTATTGAGAACTTTTATCGCTTTTACTTCATTTATCTCAGTCCAAGTTTCAAACTCTATTTTTCCCATATATACAAACTCTCATATTACGCTTGGGCCACCTGTGGCCAAACAAGCTGCAGTACCTGCGATCAAAGCGACAGCGGCTAGACTAAGATAATGAGATACAGAGAGATGATCTGGAAAAATCTCAAAAGAACCTCACCGATCTCGAGAAAATTTAAAGAACATAATTCGAAAAAAGTTACAAAGGCCAAAGGAATCGCAAGAAGACATCAAGTGGAGGTCTAAGAACGGCGCTAGGGATTAAACGATGTGAAAGGAAAAAACCTCAAGTTGAAGGCGCACTGAACTTCACAGTTAAAACAGTGAAGTTTTAACAGTGAAGTGCAGTGGGCCTTCAGCTTAAAAAAGAAGCCTGCTGGATCAGAGAACCCAGGAGCCTCAGCAGACACAAAAAATTAAAAGAACTTGAACGAGCAAAAAAAGGACCTCGATTTGGGCTACAGCCTGGGCGAAAGTATCTATAAGCACCTTATATATTAATAACTGAGGGTTCTTTGAAATAATTCAAGTAGCCAGGGCTGCAATCGTCAGAGAGGAGCGACCATCACATGAGAGCTCGACACTAATGAAGTAACAACAACTTGTTGTCTGTGATGAAACACCGTGACTGCAGTGCTGCCTCACCGTTATAGCATAATACTGTCCTCTTGTCACTGATAAAAACCATCTTCGGAAGCAGTTGTAGTACTTGTATTAGACACCAACAAAATACCTGCACCTACATCTGAACATAGTGAAGGAAATGGAAATGGATTCTCGAACAACTCTGGTAGCGCAGAATGTCATCCAGTAATCATTCAGAAGGAATGTCATCTGTTCCCAAACAGCTTACATCCTGAGCCATGCTCCCTCCCGTGACCTAAACCCAATCGGAGTTCCTCCTGCTTAATAATAACACCACCAATGGTCTATCTTTCAAGTTCCTGGCGTTCCTCAATTATCAGCTCTCCATAATGAAGTGCCCACAAGATCTGGCAACCACCAGTGCAGCAGTACCATTTAATTTGTGCACCCGCGAGTGGGAGATGTGAAAGGAAGTGGCCGCGAGCACCTCAAATAACGAAGATTTAGCGTGGGCAATTGCAGCAATTGAACGCTTAATCTTCGGTAATTTGAGGGGCTCATTGATACCACGTTTACTAAAACAGTGAGA